AGAGACACTTGGCTCAATCAGACCTTGACACTGGAGAGTTTCTGAGTTAAAAGGTAGCATTTTGTGATTTGCTGCAGTGTTGGAATACTGACCTTACAACAAAACATTCTGAAATTGGAGGACAAAAACTACAGGTCTATTTTGTTAAGATTATGCAGGTTGACTCTGCACATAGGATACCAGTTTTATAGCTGCAATATTTTTGACTTGTCAATATTCTAGATGAAATATTAACTTATTTCAAAAACCAGCCTCAGTTAAGGCACACAAAGAAAATATGCAGTCTCTCAATCACATTATGCAATGAGCAGATTTGTAAAACTGACAGCCCTACCTCCTCTAGTGAATAAAATAACACGAGGACCACAAGCTTCTCATCCAAGCAGGACACATTTGATGAGACCCTCCCCCTGGCCTTTTCGCTATAGGTAGAATCCCCACCTGTGGAAAGTAAAATTTGCTTTCCCATGTTTAGACAAAAAAAAAAACATAATGAGAGATGATTACACCAACATGCTGCTGAAGAAAAAAAAATCATGATAAACATTTCAGAAAGGGCTTACCCTGGGGCATAAGAGAAACCGCATTTGGCCAGTTGGCCACATGTGGGTCAAACCAGATCAAGAAAAAAGGCAGTTATGTGTGCTAAGCTTGGTTCTCAAGACAAAGGCTTGCCTGAATTCTTGATGCTATCCGACATCTTCACATGTATTGTTTTGTAATTTCCTGCAGCCAACAGTATTGAGAACATGTGCATTTATTTTCACGGACAGAGGAGACAGCAGAGCATATTAAACTACCTATACCCTCCTACCCAGCAAGTAATGGATAAGGATCACAGAAACAGGAAAAGATAAGAATAGGTGGTAGTGATTTGAAGAGGTTAATTAAGAAGCTGAAATCCCGTCTGCAGGTAGAATGAGAAGTTGCCTGTGGGCTGCAGCTTGGCCATGGGGGCCGACTTGCCCCAACACCAGTCAGTACTAGAGAATATGATGCTTTAACAAGGCTCTTTAAGATGCTGTTGCATTACTTATGCCACCTGCTTTTGTAAATAAAGATTTATCGTAACCCAGCCACGCTTATTCATGTATGTAATGTCCATGGCTGCTTTTGCACTAGAGTGGCAGAGTTGAGCAGTTGCAACAGTCAGAAAAGCCTAAATTATTTCCTATCTGGCCCTTTACTAAAAAACATAGTTTGCTGACCTCATCTATGCTAACATCTAAAACCTCAGAAATTAATGCTGTCAGGGACTTCCCTGGCAGTCCAGTGGTTAAGACTCCACACTTCCACTGCAGGGGGTGCGGGTTCGACCGCCGGTTGGGGAACTAACTAAGGTCCCACATGCCGTGTCGTATGGCCAAAAACTAAAAAAAAAAAAAAAAAAAAAAAAAAAAAAAAAAAAAAAAAAAAAAAATGAAAAAAAAGAAAAAAAACATTAGTGCTGTCACCTTAATTTTATCTAAGAAAGTTAATTTCAAAATGATATGGGCAAGTTATTTACTCTCTCTCTGCAACTCCTTTCCTTAACTGTAAAACTGTGATGATAATCATGACTGCCTCCAAAGACTGTTGTGCAGATTAAAAGAGCTAATTCCCTGGCGGTCCAGTGGTTAGGACTTGGCGCTTTCACTGCGGTGACCTGGGTTCAGTCCCTGGTCGGGGAATTAAGATCCTGCAAGCCGAGAGGCGCATCCAAAAACAAAAAAACAAAACAAAACCAAAAAAGGCTGTATCTCAAACAACTTAGAAGGAAGTGAAGATGATGTGCTCTGGAAAACTATGTTTGAGGAGTTCAAATGTGCCACAATGGTAAAGACATTGACACTAAAAATGCATGTGAATGCATAAAACGTGAATAGAAAAGATACATATGGGGACTTCCCTGGTGGCCCAGTGGTTAAGAATCCACCTGCCACTGCAGGGGACACGGGTTCGAGCCCTGGTCCGGGAAGATCCCACATGCCGCGGAGCAACTAAGCCTGTGCGCCACAACTACTGAGCCTGCGCTCTAGAGCCCACAAGCCACAACTACTAAAGCCCACGTGCCTAGAGCCCGTGCTCCCCAACAAGAGAAGCCACCGTAATGAGAAGTCTACGCACCGCAACAAAGAGTGGCCCCCGCTCGCCACAACTAGAGAAAGCCCACGCGCAGCAATGAAGACCCAACGCAGCCAAAAATAAATAAATAAAAATAAATTTAGAAATAAATTTATAAAGATGCATATGATACACATGATTTAAAATGTGTATATAATGAAATTAACAAATTAAATATTGTAAACAAATTTGTTCAACCCCTATCTCCAAGAATTAACATAGTCAAAGCTTTTCTTAGGTTATTTTAATATGGGCTTATACTTTATATTCTTCAGAAATCCAAACAAAACAATTAAATGGAATAAAAAGTGAAAGTCTCAACCCCGGCCCCCAACCACACCATTTTCTGTGCATTTACATGCATATATATAAACATATATTTATCCTACATCTATTATACCACAACTTGCTTTTTTCACTAAACTATGTCTATATCTCCCAGGGTTTGTACACCTACTTTTCCCTTCAATGGCTACATAGTATTTTCTAGTATGCTTGTAACCTAATTTATTCAACCATTACGTTTTGCTAAACTACTTCCAATTTTTTGCTATTTTAAACTGTACTGCTGTTAATATGCTTGTGCGTATTTTCATATTTCTGCAGGATATACAGATATGGAATTGGGCAAACACGACAGGAGTATTGAGAAAAATTGATACACAATTTGCCTTGTAATAAATCTACTGCAGCTAGACAGAAGACCTGGCAGATAACAGGATAAAATATTAACAATTGAAATGCAAGGACAAAAAAGGATAGATTTAACTCTAAAAGTATAAAAACTTTGGTACAATCAAAACTCACGAAACTAACATTAAAAAGGATAAAGAATAGGTAAAATGTTTGTAACAAATAATGAAGTGTAGTATTATCAGGATCCCAATAACTAAATTGGCAATAAAAGTAAATTAAAGTACAGTAAAATTAAAATAATGGCTACTAATATGTAACTGCTGAATTAGAATTTTTACAGAAAAAACTTTAAAAAATGAGGATAGATGAAGCTTTGGGGAAACCTGACAACAAGAGAAAAGCAGTTTGGTTATACCTATTAAAATCCATACCAAAAAAAATCTTTGTTTGTTGATTCATTCATCCTACAGTTAGATATTTATTTTGCAGAAATAATTCAAAGAGGGAAGGGGGTATAAGAAGGGGACTTTAAACAAAGTTGATCAGTGCAGTGTTATTTAGGATATTAAAAAATCTGAAGCCTTGATGTTCACAGTACTAAAACACTTAAGAGGATAGACAATATGAGAGTTCACATAAAATTAAGTGAAAAAAGTAGACTACAATGGCAATAGTGGCTATGTAAAGGTGATGGAATTATGACTGAATATCATATACCATTAATGTTTTCTCAATGTATAATATTTTAAAATAGCTACAGAGTATACAAAATAACAAGGGAAAAGGATTCCAGGGCAAACTGTTTGGAGTAATAATTTCCCTGAATGGGACTTGTTTTTCTAGGCATTATGGGATGCTGCTATCCCTGATTAAACACCAACAGATACCAAGTTCAGCATGAGCTTCGTCAAAATCTTAGTGAACCAAGTTTTCACAACACCAAAATGTGTTACAAACCAGTGGTTCTATCACTAACATATGCTTTTATTTAATATAAAGACACACATCAGGGCAAAGACACAAAGTACTAAATGAAATATAACAAACTTATTTTTGTATTGCTGTAAAATACTTACCAAGTAATAACTGTAGTATATAAAATATAAGTCCAAAGACACTGTTTGGCTGGTTTAATACACCATCCTTTCCAAAAATGGAACCCAAAAGACCAAATCCTCGACCCCATCTGTAAAATAAAGAAAACCAGTAACCCTATACTTGAGTTTTCCTATTTTAAAAAATGTAGAATTATCTGAGCATATCATGCCCACATACCCATCTGAATCTCTAAATTGCCCACTTCTATATAGTCTCTTTTCCTGACAGCATTAGTATTTGCAGAGGAAGGGCTCTTTCGATTTAAGCCAGGGTCTCTTAGCAGCAGCACCACTGACATGCTGGGCTAAACGCTTCTTTGTGGTGGGGGGCTATTCAGTGCGTTGCAAGATGTTCAGCAGTAACCATGGCCTCCACCCCCCTGCCAGCTGTGCCTCCCAAAATGTTGTCAGCCATTGCCAAATGTCCCCAGCCATTGCCAAATGTCCCTTGGGGGCAAAATCACCCCCAGTTAAAAGTCACTGATGTAAGCTCTCCTATTTCTTCATTCAAAGTACATAGACCATAATGTTGCTTCCTGACTGGAACATGCATGAGGAAACATATCCTGGGAACATACCTTTAAATGTATGATAGAATATCAGAAACTTAAAGTCTT